TCTCTCTCTCTCTCTCTCTCTCTCTCTCTCTCTCTCTCTCTCTCTCTCTCTCTCTCTCTCTCTCTCTCTCTCTCTCTCTCTCTCTCTGTGTGGGGCAGCATACGCTTGCGCTTATTTTTATCGAGACCGAAATGTGGCGTTTATGTAAACCGGGAAGACAAGGAGATGCTGCTGCTGTTGCTGCTGCTAATCCTTACCTATCTTCCCAATGCACGTACTCACCACATTTGCCAGCGCTCGCGTCTTCCACCTTTCCTCACCTGATTCCCACAGGCATATCGCAAAAGGAACGGGGAAAGCGGCCAGAGAATATACTTACACACAGTTATTCCTGCTTCCAAATCAGATACGAATACCACACTGACTTCCACACCCAGTGATCCACAAAGGGACTGAGCGACCGAGCAAACAAGACACACACACACACACACACACACACACACACACACACACACACACACACACACACAGACGTAGGCCATTCTCCCAATCCATGTTGAGCTACAGTTTGCATAGAAGCAGGAAAGCGAAAGACATAGATGATCCTCCCACAAAGAGACTGAGCGAGCGACCGAGCAAGCAAAAGAGAAAGAGAGAGAGAGAGAGAGAGAGAGAGAGAGAGAGAGAGAGAGAGAGGATCTTCTGCAAAACGGCACGAAACGTCAAGGGTGTCGATTTGTGATGGGTGCCTGCCTTTGTAGCTTGTGCCACTGACGGGTGTCGTTGATCGTCGCCGTTGCAAGAGTCGTTATGCACTTGAAGATGTCACGGCAGGGCGGTTCTGCGCCCGATCCGGCTAATTGGCAGAGCACAAAGGAGCGGGCGAGCAAGTGGCTGCCTGCAAACAGTTAAGATTTAAGACCACATATGTAGGCAGTACCCGGTTCCGCCTGCCAGCCCAAGCGAACGCGGCCCGCAGTCGACGGAAGTGCAAGACTACTTTTCTGGTACCACCCGAAAGTGCAGGACTACCACCCGTCGTCGATTGCCTCACGCCATCGGGCATGCAAGCGCAACAGCCGCCTGCATTGTTGCCCGCCTCAGTTCAACGCCCGCGTATTCCCTGTTCTCCAGCCGCGGGCAGCGTCGGCGGCGCGCGGTGGGCGCGCGTGGGGGTAATCTCATGCCGTTCTGGTGTTGACGTGAGCGCCTCTCTGTACCGCGCGCGCGCTCCCTACAGAGCAGCGGTGAATGTTTGGGGGGCGAGGCGCGGCCTCTACCGGCCCAGCGCACCGGCTCTCACCGGCAGCCCTTCTGTGAGACCGATAGCTGCGCACAAAGCGAGAAATGGTAAGGGCATACTCACAATGTCCTATTCAAATCCCCCAAAAAAAGGGGTAGCGGACCGATCACACAGATTTGCCGAAGTACCAAATGTACTATTGGTGTGCCCATTTGTCAGCGGCCAAGGGATTTTGCGGGCACCTCTGGAGGTGACCGCAAATGCCCTATTTATTTTTTCGCATTTTCTTCGAAAATTGGCAAAACTTCGTTCAGAAAACTCGCACAATTTGTGGAAAAGGTGCAGCAGTGTGACGTGAACCACCCAAAACCTCAAATCGGCCCTTCCCAAATCCGCATATTTTGGGGGCTGGCCTCAGTCGGCGCCCCTGACGTTGCTCTAAAAATAACAACACGCTCGACTACCACGCGAACGTTTGTCCTTTTTGGCAAAGATTATCCACGTAGAGATTCCGACGGGATTCTGCCGCTGTGGAATACCCCGAGAGCCCGGCCGCGCCTGTACTATTCTTGTGTTAGCCTGAAACTGGCCCTTCTTATGGCCACGTTCGTGCTTCCATATCACGAACGTGGGCCCTCGCCGCACTACGCTAAGGGGCTCGCCACACTACTCCCGACTTGGCTATTTTCGGGTGTGCAGGGTCGCCACACCAGCTCCCGAGTTCAACCTGTCAGATTGAATTCGGGAGTCCGAGAGCACTCCAGAAATCCCCGTCTCCTCCAGCCTGCAAAAGGGCCTCGCCACACCACACCCGACTTGGGAAAATTTTCGGGAGTGCTCCCGGAAGTGAAAACCCGCTCGGGAGTGCCTTTCGCCACACTACACTCTCGACCCGGCCACGCTCAAATTCTGAAAATGTCATTTGCCACATATGGACACGATCAGTGTGAAGCAGTCTGGCAGAAGTCGTTTGTCCCTTCCGGCTCCACTCCCGAATCTGGGATGAAACTCGGAGGAGCGAAGGAGGTCTCTCAAAAAAAAAGCTTTGCAGGCGGTGAGTTCGGGAGTGCTCTCGGGAGGCACATTCTGACAGCTCCCGAATTCAATCTGACAGCTTGAACTCGGGAGCTGGTGTGGCGATGCTGCACTCCCGAAAATGGCCAAGTCCGGAGTAGTGTGGCGAGGCCCAAAGTGTGATTTCGGGAGACCTCAGCTCCAGCCTGCAAAAGTGTGATTTCGGGAGACCTCAGCGGTGGGCTCAAGAACTCCCGAAGTCTGAAACGGAAATTCGTGTAGCAAGAACGCAGCCCGCTGCGCTACCCGGCGTACTCGCTGTCCGCTCTGAGTCGGCAGCGAGGGTGGGATTCCGGGTGTGGGGAGGAATGATGTTTTCCTCGATGATCTCTAGGTTCGGCCATCGCCTTCAGCTCCGACAAGGGGCTGTGTCTCCCTGTGGAATACCAGGGAGCAGGGCGATTCCAACTCCTCCTACAACAGACATCCTGCAACAGAATCTACAAGAGTCAAGTAACGAGTGCAGTGTGAACATGACGAAGGGAGAGTGAGTCCAGTACGGGACAGTGGGCACATCCAACAGCGGCACCTTTGGAGGCAGTGGAAGGGCAGCCGGTGGTGGTGGGACTGGTGTTGGGAGGAGCACGTGAGAACTATTGTTGACTATCTCGACTGGGAGCGTGAAGACCTGAAGCTCTACGGGCGGCGGCGCCACCAATGGGAGTGGGAGTTCCTCTCGTGGTGGTGGGAGCATCTCCGTTGGAATTAAGGGCGCTGAGTGTTAACTAAGCCACTCTCTGGCACAAAATATTTAGAGTGTATTAACCCAGCCATATTTTTTTACTCCTTATGAGTGACTTACTTCACGACTATCGTGCAGGATAATATTTGGAAATATTGTCGCCCTCTTTCAAGCTTCTCCTGCTATGTGCTTTGGTGTCACTGGCGGCAATCTTGAGTGTATTTAGTCATTAGGCGTATGTTTCGTTTGGTGCACTCTTCCTTTGTTTTCTTCTATGCAAAACCTCGTGTAGTGCAGTAGTTTGCTCATACTCTGCATTGGGTTGTAAGGTTGGATTCTGGCAACCCTCCATCCCTATTCCCATATCAGAGCCTTAGTATAGCATAGTAATTCCAAAATTGCGTGTAACTTTTATCTCACCGGATCTTACCTAACCTAGAGGCTATTTCAAGGAATCTTCACTGCAGGTTTTCGGCTTTAGTTTGGTTGGTAAATGTCGAAGGTTGGGGGTTGTTCCTAGAAGGCAACGGAACTATTGGAGGTGGTGGGAGACCTAATAGTTGTGGGAACGTTGCTGACCTACTATGGCACAACAGAATAGCATTTAGTTGTCAAGAGAGCAAACTTGGGTTGTACCCATTGAGATCTAGGGTGCCTGGGAGATGGCAGTTCCTACAGAGGTCCAAGGGTGCAAGGTGGGAAACCTCGTCACGGCAACCCAGGCTCCCCACGACTACTAGCTGCTCTGTCGGGCCAGTATTGGTGTTGTATTCCTTCGGTGGAAATTACTTGATCTGCTCGTTGGGCGAATTCTTTTCTTCAACTCTCCAGATTTCTTTCTAGTTCACAATCTGTTATTTGGCTTTGTTCATTAGGGTTTAGTTTATACCATGACTATTATAATTTTAAATGGCGGTTTGCCATTTTCTGGTCATCTGCATAGGCTGGACTCGTAGGCTTGCTACAGATTTTTCAAACATGGATTTTGAATTGGTGACAGTTTAAGGGTGTTGTCGATTTAGACATCTAAGATTACAATTCCTAGGGATAGCTGGTTTCTCAGCTCTTGTGCTTCACACTCGGAAATGCATTTGAAATTGTTTTAAGTTGTCGGATAGGTATTAAGCCACCATTACCTTTGCCGCGTGGGAAAATAGCGGGCCTCGGGTGGGCCTCATTTATTAAAAAAAATCGTGTAGCACAAGTTAGGGTTTAACTTTTGATCCCACCACAACACTACGACTGTAGACGCGAAAGAGGACTACAAAGATGTCAGAGGTCGTGTCGTGACGAAAAAGAGAAACTGGATCCCACGAGGGCGACTTCTTTGGTGGTTTTCCTGGACCCGCGGCGGTTTTTCATGGGCTGTTACAAACTCCGCCAAACGAAATGCCACACAACACTGTGGTCCACGGACGTTCCAAATGCTGCAACCGAACAAATGAGAGGAAAAAAAAACATTAAAAAAAAAAAGATGCTCCCTTTTTTTCGCTGCGGAGAAACCCTCACGGTCTACAAAAAAATTGTAGTAACTACGTTGCCCCCTTCGCGGACGTGCTGCCACGACACACCCAAACGAAAGTAAGGCAAAATATTTTGGCGGTCGCGACAACGTCGGAATATGGTGGGATCTGAAAACTACACTGTAACTAGGTTGTAGTGTAGTGGTGGGATCAGACGCTTACTATCCCTATCATTTCCCACTTGAATGCGTTTTTTGCCAATCTTAGATTTTGAGAGTGGTGGTTATGGGAGCAGAGTATGGCAAAGCAGTCTCCCGAGTGAGTTTTTGAGTCTTTTGACTCCTGCCGACGATGGTCAGAGCTGAGGTGGGTAGCGATGCCCTATAACTTAACTAAATAGAGGGTGTGAGATTGGATAGAGGTGGGATTGATACACAACAGAACATCAGATGACAATTGCTGGAATTGGTATAAATACCTGGAATTATGATAGGGTTCATGTTGTAGTTCTGAGTAGAGAACATTCTGATTAGAGTTCCTGATCACTCTTCCTTATTGGCTAGTACTTAGTGTGACTGCTCATATCATGATTAGCAGAAAATCATCATTTTTAGCACATCATCATCATCCTCATCATCATATGTTACTCCGGGTAGACTGGGAGGACCCCGACCTCAATGTTCTCAAATATCAATACAAGCCTTGGGCACTAGGCCCTTTAATGAAAAAAAAAAAAAAAAAAAAAGTGCTCCCGAATTTTTTCTCCAAAGTCGGGAGTAATGTGGCAAGACCCTAAATGAAACGAACCACACACTCGGGGACATGCTTGGTAGCTCAGTTGGTTAGAGCACCAGCATCACAAGGCCCAAGGTTGTATCCGGATGATCAAATGGTTAGTTGCGAACGGGTCTGTCATATGCCTGGTAGCCCGCCTCTACAACAACGTGGACTTAAATAATAATAATAATAATAATAATAATAATAATAATAATAATAATAATAATAATAATAATAATAAATAAAAAAGAACAACGTGGACCTTAGTAATTTTATTTTAATTTGTTTTTAAAAGGACAAGTCGTGGTTTCTATTTCGAATGACCCTTAGCCTGACCTGCCTTAGCCTACTCTGCGAATGGTGAATTTCGTGTTAGTTTGAGGTAGTCTGGGACTTCATGTCAGCTGTCCCCCAGCCTACCTTTTAACCCCGAGCATAAACCGTTTGCGATGTATTTCAGTTTTCAGGAAGAAAATATTTTTTTGAAAGTTGGTACCTTTTAAAAAAATAGAAACACTTTGATTGCAATGCATATGCTTTGTATTAAAATAAAATGTGCATGCGTTCTATTAGAAATTCGAAAATATT